TTTAGATCTCAGAGGAAGTAACTGAAAATACAGAACCGTCCCTGGGAGGTCCCCTCACCACGTACAGGAATCGACGTCGAGGGACCTTGTCAAATGCTTTTTGAAAATCCAGATAAACCAAATCTACACTCTTACCCTCATCTACATGAGCAGTAACCTTTTCAAGTACTAATACATTAATAGTAAGTTAACAAAACGACTTGTAAGCGCAATGATATTTACACAATAAATAAAACCTTGCTTACAGATTTTTTGTTAACTTACTATGATATACAGTATAACAAACCAAGTCTCTCGACATATGCAGATTCCAGAGAGCCTTAAAACTATAGGGTCAGTAAGATATCTTAAGCAGCTGCTAAAAGGGTGTTCTTACATTGGAAAATTTGTTGTTGCCATAAGGTTCTGAAAAACCGACAACCTATTACCACCTTGAATAAATACAAATGACACAAAGTGAGTAACTGGCACTAGAAAAACTAATGTGCCCGGAAAACAACTGTAGTTCCTATTAGAGTAAAAAGTAAGACGTTTAAGTACTTTGACAAAATTCTGTTTACAAGAAATTTGTAGGTTGTGCTGGAGTGAACCATCCATTAGTTGAAAGAACATTTAATAGATAGTTGCATGGAAATAACCTACCTTTCAATTGATATTAATAGCTTCTATTAATAGGAAGTTCCGACTAATTGAAAGATACAGCAACGTATATAGATACATCGTATAGGTACATAATTTCTCCATTACTTTCATTGACTTTTTTATTTTTTATATTGCAATCATTCCATCAAAACAAAAACAAAAAAACAGCATTTAGAAATGTTCGTGATAATACACGACATTAAACTGAAACAAGGTTTTCAGTGATCCCTGAAACATGTCAGTCATGACCTTTCAGCAGTCGTGCCTGCTGTCTTACCTTAACAAATAATGATTTTTGTTTTGTACGTGTGTGTTATCATATATTGTTTGATTGGTCAAAACCGATTAAAAGTCCTGGTTATTTTTAATTACAAGTGGAAATAAAAATAAAAGGTACAGTAAAGAAGTACACGTCCTCGTTAATGGTATACAGCTTTGATAGCGAATGAGATAAACTCCGGCAGCTTTGAATTATTATACTTTTTTAAAGAATTTGTCAATAGATAATGTGTATAATTTTTGAACAAATTACGACAGCCTTTGAACACTGTAGACGTAGAAATAGGCATATTAAGGATTTCGGGCCCTTGCTTTCCTCGTAAAAGCCGCGATAAACAAGTAATTAAACAATAACTGGTGGGCAGGCAACCCTTATGAGTGAACTAGTAATTCGATGTATACGTGGGAAAAACAACCGTATGACGCATAGAATTTTACGCGTGCGGGTAAAGAAAAAAAAACTTAAAGAGCTTTCTTACACTTTCCTAGGAACAACTCGAAAATCGCGTGCGTGTATATTTTTCCGGGCAATAATAATATGAACGTTCTTCAATTTGTTTTGTTTCACTTGTTGATAACTTTGGGAATAAAAATCCGACATATAATTACATTTTACTCCACCGTAAAAATTAGTTTGAGAAAATTATATAAGAGTGATTAATATGGATATTG